AAAAAAAAAAAAAAAAAAAAAAAAAAAAAAAAAAAAAAAAAAAAAAAAAAAAAAAAAAAAAAAGCATCACATCTGATGATTTGAATTTTTGAAAAGTGATTATTTAAGAGTCTACATGCAGGTCTACCACAATAATTCATATTGCCATTCTTGATCACCCTGAAACTTGCAACTTTTTTAGCCCACTTTGATCTACTCACAGTGATGCAAATTACCGTTTTAACTGCACCAACAAAGGCAGCATGCCTTTGTAAAGAATTTTAGTGAACCTACCATATTTAATGGCATTAATCAAGCAAGTATATGGAAGATGCTGATACTCTGAAAAGAGAACAGGAGCTATTAACAATGTCCTTATCCTCTCATACAAAATCCAATGATGCTACTCTAATAACTGCTTTCAATTATGAAGTAAACATTTATTCTTCTACCACCACTCTCCTTCCCCCATTTACAGAGAAAGAAACAGATTTCAAGTCAGCAATACCTATAACATAGTAAATGCCTAACCACTTCTCACTACCCTGTCTACTTCCTCTTCAGAAGCCAGGCATACATTTTACTCTTTACATCCACATACTTCTTCCCTCCCTCCTTTTACATCTACTTCCTTCCTTTCTCCCTCCCTTCCTTCCTTCTTTCCATTTTTCTTTAGATATCTCTGCCATTCTTCCTTTTTCTGATAAGAAATGAGCACATCTGAAAAAAATAGGACAACTCTGACAAAAGCTGGGCTCTGGAAACAGATGTCTGAGGTCGAATCCTGGTTCTCCTCTGCCACTCAGAACTTGTACAACCTTGTGTGAGCCACTTCACTTCTCTGTGCCTCAGTTTCCCATAAAGTGGACATAACAGTACCTACCTCATGAAATTGTAGGAACTAGGGCTTGGAACACTATAAACGGCCAGAAAGTAAACTCTGGGTAAAGGTAATGGGAAATGTCAGAGAACTTTGCTGTATTTTTATATCTGTATTAAATTTTTTACAAGCATGTATTTATTCTGTATTTTTTAAAAATTCTGTATTAAAAAGAAACTAGGCTGGGTGCAGTGGCTCACGCCTGTAGTTAGGAGTTCAAGACCAGCCTGATGATCATGGAGAAACCCCATCTCTACTACAAATACAAAATTAGTCAGAGGTGGTGGTGCATGCCTGTAATCCCAGCTACTGTGAAGGCTGAGGCAGGAGAATCACTTGAACCTGGGAGGCAGAGGTTGCAGTGAGTTGAGATGGCACCATTGCACTCCAGCCTGGGCAAAAGGAGTGAAACTCCATCTCAAAAAAAAAAGAAAGTAACCATTAGTTTCTAAACTAAACCAAACTAAACCATAAAACCAACAACCCATTAATATTTTTAAAATGTCAACTGTCATCACCCACCCATATAAAGCAGTATACTGCAATACAATCAAAATGTTCCCATTTAGCTTGGGAGATTTTCTATAATTCTGTCCAAAATAATCCAAAAATGTTACACAAAATGACACCAATATCCAAAAAGTAAAGTGACAGTTGGCCATATTGCCTCCCAGCTCATGGAGTGAAATCACCTCTTAAAGACGTTTCTTTCAACCTGCAAAATTCCACTTTAACCATTGTAAAGGTGTCATCAAAATGTACCAGAGGACTCAAATTAGGGTTAAAACATGTTTTTGCTGGCTGGGCGTGGTGCCTCACACCTGTAATTCCAGCACTTTGGGAGGCCAAGGAGGATGGAGCACCTAATGTGAGGAGTTTGAGACCGGTCTGGCCTACATGGTAACTCCATCTCTACTAAAAATACAAAAATTAGTCAGGCATAGTGGCATGTGCCTTAGTCCCAGGTACTCAGGAGGCTGATGCAGGAGAATTGCTTGAACCTGAGAGGCGGAGGTTGCAGTGAGCTGAGATTGTGCCACTGCACTTCAGCCTCTGTCTCAAAAGAGTGCTAGACTAAGCTTCATAATGGCAGGGTCATGTATATTCTGGTTAGCACTGTATCACTGAATATGAGCCTACGTAACTGCTGAATGAGAAAAAAAAGGGTCACACGTTTGTCAGCAATACTGTACAGAGGTCTGTGTCTTAATTGTGAGGGACTAAGATGAAAACTTGGATATAAAGGGGACCAACCTTCTGATTACAGAGTATTTTTCAACGGCTAAAGAAATTAGTGTATGGATATATCACTGTACAATCCTCCCTGTTGAACATTTGTGCTTCATTTTCCCTACCATATCTTTTTACTTAAAATGTCTTCTGTATTTAAGACTGTGTCTTTAGAATCCATTGCTAAGTGAAAGAATACAAACATTTGAGTCTGTTATTACTTAAAAGTTCTTTATTTAAAACATCAACTTCTCTTTTAAATGAGTAGTTAACTTTAAGTGCTGCAAAATTATTTCCAATTTATTTGACTGTTACTTTTTGTAACCTCTCGATTATGGAAATTCCGGCTATTTGCATTTATCTTGTTCTTGAGGGTATCTTCTATTGTTTTTACCCTAAGTAAGAAAAAAATACCCCAGTAGAAACACTACAAAAAGGCAGACAAGCTCTGAAAGACACAAATAATCAATACTAAAAAATATTGTTCAAGGCCAGGTGCTGTGGCTAGCACCTACAATCCCAGTACTCTGGGAGGCAAAAGTGGGAGGGCCACCTGAGCCCAGGAGTCCGAGAGTCACCTGGGCAACATAGGAAGACCCTGTCTCTACAATAAAATAAATAATTAGCTGGGCATGGCGGCACATGCCTGTGGTCCCAGCTACCTGAGAGGCTGAGGCAGGAAGATCACTTGAGCCCAGGAGGTCCAGGTTGCAGTGACCCATTATTATGCCACTAATGTTCCAGCTTGGGTGACAGAGACCCAGTTAAAAAAAAAAAAAAAAGTTTGGCTGGGCATGGTGGCTCACACCTATAAATAATCCCAGCACTTTGAGAGGCCAAGGCTGGCAGATCACCTGAGGTAAGGAGTTGGAGACCAGCCTGGCCAACACGGCGAAACCTCATCTCTACTAAAAATACAAAGAAAATTAGCGGGCATGGTGGCACGTGCCCATAGTCCCAGCTACTCAGGAGGCTGAAGCGGGAGAATGCTTGAACCCAAGAGGTGGAGGCTGCAGTGAGCCGAGATTGGACCACTGCACTCCAGCCAGGGCAACAGCAAGACTGTCTCCCCCACCCCCCCAAAAAAGGTTTGATTATAACAAAAACTGTGTATTAAAAATGAGGTATCATTCTATTCTTATTGGAAGTGGGACAGCTAAGAGAGATGGCTAGGATGGATACAAATGTAGGCGAGTTTGTTAAGTGACAGCGAGAAGTTCAGGAAATGTATACCTGAGACCTTTAGGCAACAATATATACTGGGATAAATAGGGCAGAGAGCTGTTGGGCTAGGCAGAAAAGGCATGTCCCTTGACTTTTCCAGGAAGGCTGAGAATGTAAAGAAACATGCTATCCCTAGAAGCATAGTGAGCCAACTGGGGAGTAAGCACGGAGGAGAATGGGCATTACTGCATAAAACAGAGACCACCGGAGGGCTGCACTTAGGGCTGCACCCAAGGATAGCAGGTCTAAATGTTCTATCAGCCAACTTCAAGGTAGTTGAAGTTCTCAACAGGACCTTGGTGAAAAGGTACTCCGTGCTCAGATATCCTTTTAGTGGCAAAAAAGTGGCATTTGAGGTGCAGAAAAAGTGTATTTATATGTGCAACACACATACACGTGTACTCACACGCAGTAATAAGTAACCGAGTAGTCAGAATTTAGGGCTTATAAAACTAGCTTAGAAGAGGAAAGGATAGGAGGAGAAAAACCTCTTTTGGAAAGAACAGATTTCTTTAGGGAACACAAATGGGATTTTTAGGAGAACAAATGAGAGATCGAGTTTACAATGTCTATCTCCATAGGTATGAGTAGTCTTTGTTTTCTTAGGGCCATAAGACTATCCTCTCCCCCTCCAGAGATTTACTCTTGGCCTCTCTCCTGGGAACAGACTCACTCCAAAGGGATAATTTATGTCAGCCCTCATTTATGACATGTATTTGCTTTTAGCCAGATAAACTCCAAGTAAGCTTCTCTC